TATATATATATATATATATATATATATATTTATATATATATATATAGCTGATAAATTGCAGTTGTTTTTTCCGCATCGGAAAAAAAAACAATTTAATAATGATAACAAATGATTGCTGACCTTAAATAAACATGTATTTAACACTGTTATTGTCTGCAGTGCACTTATTTATAGTAAAAACAAATAGCATCAACCTCATTAATTAACAATAAAAACAGGTAGGCCAATCAAAACAACAACAACTTATTAATGATAAAAGGTTTCATGCACTTCACAACTACATTCATAGAGCAGATCGTTTGTGTTGGCTCAGTAAAATACGATATCAAACAAATAAATAGACGTCTGCTCTTACAATAACATTAATTGTCCCTGTTAATCGGCCGACAGATTAATCGGTCTTCCACTAATGTCAACATGTGTTCAAGAGCATGTGCATGTTGAGAGAAAGATTCAGGATTGCAAGCTTACAGGGTTGTGAAAATGAATCGATATTGTACAAGTCAACTAGTTACAAAGTATTAAAACTGCATTAATCAATGTTTTTTTTTATGTTTACAACAAATCAAATGACTATTAATGATGTGAAAGTGGTCACTTGTAATGACTCAGAGAATTAATACCCCACTCTGTTGTTTTACAGCACACTTACTGTTGTTATTCACTCTTACTGCTGTCATTATCAGACCCCTTTCAAGCAGCAGCAGGCAGCCATTTTCAGCAAAACAAGCTCTGATAGACCGACTGTGTGTAACACCAAATGGCGGACAAAGTTGGCGAACCAGCTGATGAATAAATTTGAAAATGTAGCTGCTAAAGAGCTACAAGTTTTTCCCAAGAGTTGGTGGAGACCAAAACAAGAGCTAGTAGAGTGAATATTGGATTGTCATTCATCGGGTGTGTTTTGAAAGGTTTGTCTAGTGGCCAGTCATTTATTAATGCAGCTTTAATTCTTTCTGAAAACGTTTAATGCAAGTGAATTCAAACTGATTCAGTGTGGATTCTTAGCCGCTGCGACAGACCGCAAAATCCGGATTGCAGCCAATCATTCCGTCTGTCATTTGTAAAAAAAATAAAAATAAATACGCCAATCTGCGTTGGTTGTTATTCCACTCATTTCCAAATCAACTTTTGTTAAAAAAAGTTTCCACAATGAAGTGTTCTAGTTCCTGGTGCAACAGTGAGTGTTGTTTGAGGTACTGAACATGACTCATTCTCAAACGAGGGGAACCACACTGGTAGATCCGTTTTTTTCTACCCTGAAGAAAAAACACACTTGCTGAGATCAAATGACTTGATAAGGCAGTGCAGTTGTTGAAGTAGATGGAACAGATGAATCTTGCCTTTCGATCAGATACTTGAATTCCTGCCTGTTTTTGAGAAACTAAACTGCCCAGTCTCTGGTGCACATCAGCAGAAAAGTGAACACTTGCACATTACAATGTGTGTGCGCATGCTTGAGTTGTGTTCCCTCGCCTGCATGCATGAGTGCCTGCTACAGTCGTTGTGTACGCCAGTGAATAGTGCATGACCCAGTATGTATTATGCCTGTGAACATATCCAAGAGTTCAATCATCAATAATTGCTTCGACAGTACGGATGCAACATATTTTTGAACTGAGACAGACATTATGCACGACGCGGTAGCGTGGAAGTGTTCAAGGACTTCCCACAGCTTCCTCATCAAAGAGACGTGTTTTTACGTAGCGCTCAATGACAAAGAAGACAGCTCCTTTTATACACTAATCATTTATACACACATAAATAATGCATCGCCTGTCACTCCTCTATGCAATGCGTGGTCGCCAGAACGGCTTAAAAATATTTTTTTAGAAAAAGCTTGAACAGAAATCAATGAGGACTTTGTCTAGTAGAGTTTGTTTTTTCCGTGTCATGTGTAAAAACAAAAACAAAAAATGGTCGAAGCAAGAGCGTGTCGGCTCTGTCGTCTGATTGGCTTGGCGAAGGAGACAAAGGAAGTGGTTTGTGTGCTGAGCAGACACCGAGACTCACTGCGGTGGAGGCAAGAGAAACCGCACCTCCGGCCTCAAGGGGGGGATTGAAAAGTTGCATGTGTGTGTGTGTGTGTTTTGTCTTCTCAAAAGGCTATAATTTACTTAATTCAAGACAACACAGAAAAAAAGTTTATCCTCCACATATAAGAAGAAAAGAAAGTGTGGGTACACGATGCGTTGAATGATAAAGGGCTTTTGGAAATTCAATGTCGGCATGCGAGCTTACATACACACCTGGAGAACCGTCCCGCCTAACACACACACACATTGGTTTTGCAGAATGATCTGTCTTCTTACGTTTCCCTTACTCTGGTTTCTGTTTTGAGTCCTGAATCAGAGAGGCCGTGGTCTTGTTGGGGGTGAAAGGGAAGCAGGGGTAGTTAGAGGAGGATTGGGGAAAGGGGCCCCATTTTAGAGGAACTGCTGTCTGGCAGTGGAGGTCAGCCCAAGGGTAGAATACTTGTGTTGGAGTCAGCGAGAGGTGAGGAGGGCTGAAATCATGTTAGCTTTATTCCCCCCCCCCCTCCTCTCCTGACAGGGAGAGCATAAATTCATTTAATCCTGTTTTTCTGTGGATTCGCTTAACCTTTTTGGGCTACTGCTGTTCTCTAACCGCAGCCCTCGGGGTGCAGTGTGTGGGGGGGGGGGGAGCTTAGGCACAGAGAGCACAGAGAGTGAGGCGAGCGACGGTAAATGATAATATCCTTGAAAAGGAGTAAAGTGGCCTAACAATGATATAAATAAAAGCAAGGAGGGAGGGGAGGCCAAGGAAAGGTCAAGACAAAGTGGCCGTGGATCCAAAAAGCACCTCCCCCCCAAAAAACATGCATTTTTCTTGTTCACCCATGTTATTCACTCGTGCACCTGCGCGTACACACCTGGTACACACCTGGTACACACCTCTTCAGCCCCCCCCTCCCCGGCACAATCTATATCTGTATCCGGTAACCGCATGGCGACCGTAATGGTGAGAGGCGCTGATTGATTTGTTCAATGTGCGAAATGGTGCTTAACAGCACTGCTGAGAGCGTTCATATTTGTAACACCCTCATGGAGTGTTAAAACTCACACCTCACTGCCAGTGAACCCCCCGCCCCCCCAACCACCCAATTTTTCCTCAAGGTGCTTCTTTTACTGTAAGCGTCCAATAATCACAGGAGGTATTCAACTCAGATTTTACAAGTCAGGATGACTCAATGACCGGAGAGCTTTTTTTTCGATAATGAAACGATCGGGCAAGAAGACGGGTTTTGTGAGTTTTTATTTCTAGTTGGATTGAAGTGTGTTTCACGATGCTTTGTATTGCTGGTAGTAATGTTACAATGACAATTCTTCAATGACTATTTCAAACGGTGTTCATTGATTGGCCGATGGTGATTCAGGAGAGTCAGTTCAGTTTAAAAGACTCTGTGTCTGTGACCGAACAACTCTAGTCAAGGAGGATTCAAACTGTGCGGTACAAGTCGATGTTAGCTTAAGATCAGTCGCGAAAAGGTTTAAAAGGTACCTCTATCTAAAAATGTATACGTGTTGGACATTTATTACAGCATGCTAACTAAACTGTGCAGAAATGTGAGGTGATCCCATCAAAAAGTATTCATCAGCTGGCCTCCACTGACTAACTAATGGAAGAAATTCACAACACAAACTGCTATTTTAGTTAGTTTGTCTCTTTTTACACCAACTCACTCGACCTGGAAGTTACAAAAAAGCAGGTTTAAAAGCTCAATTTAGCAGGACTTGTAGCCGAGAGGGACTTCAGTACGACATTCATGGTAGTCCAACCTTAAATGTCACAGTTGAGGATTCCATAATCCCCAGTCTCTGCTGTGAGAGGACAGGGTTTCTGCATTTGGAAGAGTGTTTTAAGTTTGCAGGAAGGTTGCATCTTGAATAAATCCTGTCAATGGTGCGATAAAGCCCTTTCTGTCCAACTCGGGACGATACGTTATGATGCACCAGAGTGGATCGCTAAACATGCAATGTTTGCAGTCAGGAAAAAACAATTCCGTTCTTTGTTAATCTTATGGCTGTAGTTGGTAGTTGATGCACACAGGCTTCACATGAAGCCTTGTTATGTTTATGTCAAGCATGCCGGTTTCAGTTAGAATATCTTGAACCACATTTGCATGGATACTAAAGATGTGATTTTAAAGAGAAAGTTTAATGAAAGGTCCCGTCCTCCACCACCACATTTTCTGTACATGTGGCCTCACCGTGCGACTGATTAAATCCCTGTGTGCTTTTGAACGAGGGCAAGAGCGGTAGGCGCGTTCCACCGGTAGCCTCTAATTTGAGGAATGCGGTGCACGCTTTACCCCATGCCGTGCAATTACCAGACATTATCCAATTTGACTGATTTGTGCGTATTGAGTATCTTAAGCAAAGAGAAATCTTTGTGTTTGTGGGAGCGAGTTGGTTCACAACGACTCCCACGCAACTGTCGAGTTTATGCAAATAATTAAGAGCGCGAGGGCACGAACTGTGACTTTCAGAGGATGCAGAGGGGAGCCGACGTTCACACAACTCCACTGTTATGTTTTCATTTCTCCGGTCTACATCGAGCTCCCACAGGACCGCCTGTTCTCACAGAGCCTCGCTCAGCAACCAGCAGTACCGGGTTCCTGTGGCGGCAACGGCCAAATGCATTATCTCCCCGGAAAAGTAGTACTTGAAGCAGAACCGTTTTCTTTTTTTTCTTTTCATACAGCAGAGCCTATGGCTGCAATGCACTGTATGATGTAGCAAAGCAGAATTACAGCTGTGAGTGCATGTGCAGTAATTAGATAGAGGCAGGATGGGAAAACTAACTGCTTTACTTCTAGGAAGCAAGAGGAAAAAGGGTCATCTTCTAACCAGAGTGTCATATCTCAGGTGCTCTACATTTGCAACTTTGCATCAGTTTAACATCAAATTGGAATCAGTAAACTCATCCGGCTGACAAAAAAAAATATGTGTTCACAGTGCAAATGTCTATGTGTGTTAGTAGAGATGTGAGGGGCAATGGGTAAGTGGGACTTTATCCTCTACGGTATGTGCTGTACCTTCTCTCTTCATGCCCATGGCTAAACACTTCTGGTAGCGGCAGTACTGGCAGCGGTTCCTCTGGCGCTTGTCGATGACACAGTGCTTGCTGTCCCGGCACGTGTAGGTGAGGTCTTTGCGCACCGTCCGCTTGAAAAAACCTTTGCAGCCCTCGCAGCTGTACACCCCGTAGTGTTTACCTGAGGAGGGAGAGATGGAGAGAGAGAGAGAGACAGGGAATGGGTCGTCGAAATGCACAACAGAGAAAAAAAATCCTTAAAGTTATGGTGGGTGGGGGGCTCGTCTCTTGTTTTTGTTACATGTGATGGACGAAACGGTTTCCTTTGTTCGCTCTTTGCCGGTCGGACCACCAGAGAAGATGAATGAAGCCTCCGAGCACAGTTAAATGAAGCCTGATTCGCTACTAAACGTTGTTTTGATTTCCCACCCCACCCCCCTTCACCCCCACTTGCTTCCATGCGGCACCGATGACGCAGGATGACACAGAATGTCCAATGAATTCCGGCTTCATCCCGGGGATGAAAACCCCTTTTCCCCCATGAGTGACAGGTCGGGCCCGCTTTTCCCCTCTCCGACACAGCGCTTCTCTATGTCAGCCGAAACCGAATTGAGCTTCGGCTTTTTCATCGGAGCGTGAACAATGTTTTTCTCTGCCTCACATCGTCAGTTTCTTTCATGTGCCTTTCATGCTGCTTGCTGCTGGCCTCGTATGCGGTTTCTCATACTTCTTTCTGGCCTCCTCGCCATTTAGCCCAGATTTCCGCTGACTGTTGTCCTTCCAGGAAGATCTCCCGCAGCAAAGAAGCTGCGGTGCGTAGCTCTGCCAGAGCGGTCCGTGGGGCTGTTCTCTGACCGGAGTTCATCTGCGGAGGTTGCTCGGTGTGGTCAGAGCACCAGCTTTAAGAAGACGCTGGCTAGTCCCGCTTTCTTTTCACTGGGGAGTCTTGTGTAATCCCAGCTGGTGAGAGATTATTTTTATACCTTCTCCCACAATTCTACGCTAAATCATTCATAAAATTCCCGGTAAGGTTGTGACTCGTGCACTTTTAAATAGTTACCTCAATTTATTCATTGTCATTCCATCTTTAGAACTTTAATGTATTTATAGGAGTCGAGTAAGCCAACTTGTAACACTGCAAACAAAAAAAAGGAACAACTTCCTAAAAGTCAAGGTACACTTTTAACTTCCCATACATAACCGTTTCAAATAATGAGAATAATTGTATTCTAAATATATAAATTCAATGATTCGCTTTTCATTGTACACTGCTTCCTGTGTGGACGCTGCACCCGGTTGGGCAGCGGGTGTCTGCCGTGGTTCCGCCGACGTCACTCACCTGAGGAGCGGTCGCCGCAGATGGCGCAGATGTGCTTGGTGAGCGACAGGATGGTGCCCGAGGGCTGGGCGGGCACCTTCATCACGCCGTTGAGGCCCAGCGGGGGCTTGATGTCCTCCGTGCTGCTGAGCGAGTTCATCGGGGAGTTCAGCTGGAACATCAACACACACAAACACACACACACACACGCCGACAGGTCACAACACAGCCCCTTCTGAACTCAGAAAAAAAAAACCTGCACACACCCTTTGCATGGCCGTCACGTAGCTTAGCATAGTTAGCCGATGACATTATCTATTAAGTGAGGGGCCAGAGGAGGGTTTGACTGCACACACACAAATAAATCTGAGCGGAGCTATGTCATGCAGATTGTCATGAACAATTGGCTAAATGCAGAGAGTGAAAAGCATGTTTTGACTTCTGATACTCTATACAGATGGTCGGCCGTCCCGGCAGCAGCAGTTTCTGCCCTCTTCCAATTGCTCCCTCTCCTCCCTCTGTATCAGACCTAAATCTGGCCAAGCAGGATCCTGCACCGCTCCCCCCCAGCCTCTCTTTTATTCATGCTCCCGACAAGCCCCGCTCGCTCCCGAAATGTTCAGTGCTGGCATAACTCCACTGCAAAATTCAACAGTACAGCGGAATAAAGAGGCGGCATTTGTTTTAGCGGCAGTGCAAGCTGCAGCCCCGGGTCTTGCTTCAGTTGCTGCCTCCCTCTCCCTCCCAAAGTGACCTCTCTTTTTAACTCCCGCTAAAAGTGGAGAGCGAGGGGAGACTAATTATTATAACTAGCACCATGCTGTTTCCAGAGTAGATAAACGTTGGGAGGAGGAGGGGAGGATATGAATTATCCTAAAACACTAAATGTAGTGAATGGAAGAGGAGCTTTTGTAGCTAACCATTAGCACCGTCCTGTTAAAGAAGTGGACATTGCACTGGGGGAATAAAAGCATACATTCAAGTGGATTCCCCCGACAAACACATCCAGGATGGAAGTGGGGGTGAGAGACGGGGCAGAGTCTTTAGAGCAGAGCAGCCACACGGGCTCATGTAGCCAAACATTGCTTTTATTACCAAGCTCTAAATGTAGCGGAGGTCTGTCTCCGTCGGCGGGGATCCGTCGAGACAGACGAAACGTTTTGTCTTTACGACCACGAGGCGACCGTGAAAGTTGGTTGTGGATGTAAAAGCTGATAAGCTGATTAATCAATTAGTCGATCGTCAAACTTCCTCGAGCTCTAGGCCACTATGATGGGTATTTTTCCCTATTTTATGACTGTAATTATGAAATTATTAGTAAACAAGCCCAATACATGCACATGATTAGGTATGTACAAGAGAATATGACAAATTATGAGGCTACTTCAGCAATTTAGTCGGCCTACTTCATTAAAGTTGAGGGGACGGACACAGATCTGACCTGCAGTCCCCTTGCGTCGGTCATGCTCCCGACAGCTTCCTAACGTTTAACATGTACATGTACTATGATGCCATAAGGATGAGCAGCTGTTTATATTAGGTACATACACATGCAATGCACAAGTTCACCTAAACAGAAGCTTGCACACAGACTGTACAGAAGTGTACGCAGTCGTCACCAAACCCATTGGTTTGGTGACTATGGTTCTGATGCCTCGACGTCGGCATTTTGCTTTATGTTGCAACCTGAGAGAGGGTGGAGCTATTCACTTTGTAAGAATGCTACGATTAACTTTCATAAAACAGAAACACACTGCAAAAGGGTTAAAGATTTAAGACAAAAACACAGACAAAGACGCGGTAGTGAACATTAAATCAAAAGTTAGCCCCGCCCTAAATCTTTCCCTGCTTTATGGTCTGTTTGACTCTAAATGGACCATCATTGACTAAATGAACATCATGCTGTATTGAAGAAGACTTGAAACTAGAGATTGAGACCATAAACTCATGTTTACAATGTTTACTGAGGTAATAAATCAAGAGAGAAGTAGAGTCATTTTCTCATAGACTTCTATACAACCAGAGGAGTCGCCCCCTGCTGGCCACTAGAAATAATGCAAGTTTAAGGCACTTCTGCATTAGCTTGACTTTTCAGAACCGGAGGTAGCCGCCTGAAGGAGACTCAGATATACCACGTGGACGTGAACATGTACACACAGCCATGCACGCATAGACAAGTACACACACTCGCTGCTGTGGCTCCTGGCATTCCATTTCACCTCACACTCGGATATTTGAGTCCCCTTAAATAGCTTCAAAGTTGACAAAATATATATAAATGGCAGCAAAGCCACTTACGTTCTTGCTTGAAGCTACAGCATGCATCGCTTACATGGAATGGAATATTCCAAGTCGTCCGCATCCTTTCACACCCTTTTCCACATAATTCAGCGTTGCATGTGTGGTGTCATGGGAACTTGGCGAGAATTTTTTTTTAATATAAAGCCGATGCCGGTTCGAGGGTTTGGCTGCATTTGGAGAAACGGATTCACTGGTGGGTTCGGCAGGTTTGAAAAGGTTAAAGAAAGCCCATCGCCACATGAAAACGTTCAATTCACACCCCGACACCCCCCACCCCCACCCCACCCCACCGGCCTGCTCTTCACACCCTGTTTACACAAATGCACACTGAACTGTACGCAAACACACACACACAAAGCCTACGCTTCAGAATAAAAAGAGATTATTTTATCATGCTGCAGAGCTTTCTGTGTGCTATTTTATACATTATTTTATTATTATTATTACCAAGGAGGGGATATTTTGCATATATCACACAAGTGGCCAAGGTTTGTATTGAAACTAAATGTGTCATTTAAATTGTCAATAATAATGTGCACTATTTCAATGAATGTGGCATCGTTATAGTCATATTTCGGCAAAATACTGCCTTTCGTGCAGGGAAGAAGACAATTTTCGGGAGCGCACAGAAGCACACATAAAAGAAGAAGAAGAAAAGCATTGTTTGTTTGGAACCAGCTGCGGCGGCATGTGCACACACACACACACACCATGAGGTCTTACCTCAGTTAAAAGCCTGAGTCTAGTCGTTTTTGTCCCGTGCAGCGATATCGTCTCCATCAAACCCTCCGTCTGCCAGCGGAGGACTCTTTTCTGTCAGGAAATCTATTTTCGGGAAAACCTGCAACTCAATCTCGGTAACATTGCTCCCCCACGGTGGGGTGGGCAGACTTGTTTATTGGGAGGTGGGCAGACTTTTTTTTTCCCTTCTGCCCCATGGCAGTGGAGGCAAGGCGGGGGGGGGTTAAAGTGGCTCAGGACTGGTTCTGGAAATAGAATACATGCGCCCTCCCCTTAGAACACATCCATGTGACCCGTCTCAGGGAGGTATGCCAGCTGTGTGCACGGCCTCGTCGTCTTGGGAAACCCCTTGACACTCTTTTTATTTTTTTTCTACTTCTCGAGGAGCAGAGGGCCTGGATTCAAACTTTCACAGGCCGAGGGAGAGAAAAACAAACGAGGAGCGCTTAACATCAAGGGCTGGAAAATGTAGCACACAAGATTCCCTGCAGTACAATGAATGACGCGAGCGGCTGGAAACGCTCCAGCTGTAAATCACAGCGCTCCGTGTTACGTAACGTGTTGTGGAGGACATTCGATTGGTATATCCAGTGCGGTGGGGGTCTCCCGTCTGCTCGTGGGCGTCAGATTCTGCACAGAATCGATGCATGTGATATGTCCTGTGCCGTCCGCTGTAATAGCTAAGTACAGTCCTTTTTCAGACATGTAAAAAAGGTGATGGATTAATACTCTGAATCGAATGCAAAGATTTATGAAACATGGGGGTGTTCTGGATCGGTTTCACGAAGACACACAGAGCAATAAAACATGTTTTCTGGAAGCAACTGCTGCAACTACAGATTATTGTCCTTATAGATGAATCTACCCATAATTCTAAAGTTCCCAGAGTTCACGGTGACATCTTCAGACTGCTTGCTTTGTCTGAGGCACGGCCTAAAACCGAAAGATAATCAATTAACAACAACAAAAAAGAGAAAAAAGCAGGAAAATGTTTGACTATAGGTATTTTTCATTTTCTGTCTATCAACTCATTGATCAACAGAACACAATAGAAGCTAGCTTAGTAATAAAACAAAAGAAAAATAAGCTATAATCTCACCAAAAACATCAAATGATCGCCGTCAGTCGGCTCGGTTTAGGCGTCTTACTCAGCCCTCCTTCCTTTTAATAGAAAGAACAACCCTGGCAGCAGAGCGGGTCCTTTTAAACCATTAGTATGCTATGACAGCACACATGGTGGTGAAACAGAGAGAAAGCCGTCCCTCGAGTGAACAGAGGAGAAAAAGGCAGGAAGAGCGGAGACAGTGGAGGCCTCTGCTTAAGACGGGCTTAGCTTGATTCAGGGAGTCAGAGCACAGACTTTGCTCATAAAGACACTTCAAACGGAGACTTCAAATCCTGGCTGGTGCGCCACTCCTCACCGCACAACCCTCATGTGGAGCTTCAGTTGCTTTTACAGTTCAAGGGCACCTTTTCAGGACGCGGGGAAAGTTATCTTCACAGTATTCTGTCAGGGCGCTCTGAGCGCACTGCTTCACTCTTCCCAAAACAAACAAAAAAAATCTGTATCACCCCCCCTTGAACCGGGAGTCATTTTTAAATGACCCCGCGTGTAAGCGGGGTCGGTCTTCCGAGACCCTCGAGGTACATATTCACAGTGAGACACCCTTCAGGATAAACTACGCCACTGTTACAAGCTTGAAAGGCACCTGCTTGAACATGCACAGAGGAAACAGCAAGGAACGCTTCATTTCAGTCACTAAAACATGTGTCAACATGTGACTTCAAGGGGCCCTGTGGTTTTTTTGTTGTTGTAAATAAACAAAGGTTATGTTACATATATGCATCCTGGTGCACATGCACAAGACACGTAGTCCATAGACACATAGCTCCATAGTGCCACAAGAGGTCAAAAACTCCTCAGGGAACCTTTAACAATCCACATCTATACCTACGCCTCAAATCCACTGAGATGACCCTTCGCTTAGTCCCGCCCTCGAACGCAGACCGGCCATTCATGGCGTAGCACTGGCCAGCTTCGACCAGAGTTGGAGAACTAACCAGCTGAGCTCTATAGATGTTCTTTATTTTGGTTTAGTGGATTTGGGGCAAGTCGTGGTTAAACATACTCGTTAATGG